ATTAAGCTTAGAATTCACCTCTGTTAACATAGCCAGTGCCACTTAACAGCTCTGGTTGAGACTGTAATGTGACATCTTAAATTGCCATACTCCATCTGCTTCCAGAGAATGGGCCAATTTACAGAGGAAGTGTGTCTCATCATAGATCATAGAATGGTTTGGGTTGGAAGGGACCTTTAAAGATCATGTAGTCTGACCCCTCTGTCATGGGCAGGGACAACTTCCACTAGTTCACATTAATCAAATCCCAACCCAACCTAGTCTTGAACAGTTCCAGTGATAGGGCATCCTCCCGTTCCAGTGTTCCACTACTCTCATCATAAAAACTGTCTTCTTTATGTCCAATCTTAATCTACCTTCTTTTAATTTAAAACCATTGTCCCTTGTCCTGTCACTACAGACCCTGGTATAAAGTCTCTCTTCATCTTTCTTATAAGCCCCCTTTCAAGTGCTGGAAGGCTGCTATAAGGTCTCCCTGGAGCCTTCTTTTCTTAAGCCTAAATAACCCCAATTCTCTCAGTTTTTCTTCAAAGGAGAAGTGTTCCAGCCCCCTGATAATTTTCATGGACTCTTGCTCAAGTGAATTCTACTTTGTTCATTGATAAGTGATATCTCTTTATTTATCTTAAGCACTATTTTCTCCCCGTCTTCTGTTGTGGAGTGGGAGTGACAGAGCACCTGGGTTAGTGTCTGGTGTGTTTCTATGTATCAGGACATTAAAGCTAGCAAAATTCCAATGCTGCATTGACACACATTTCCATTTATTAGTTGTTTAGATGGCATTATTTATAAGTGCAGATGAATCATTTCAATGATTCATCTCAAATACAAGTGGAAATCATTAGAAAAAAAAAAAGAAGAAAAAAAAAGATTATAACCCCCCCCCAACAATAAAAAGTTTAAAGATCCCATTGTAAAGTAAATTGTAAACATTGTTCCCTCTGGATGAGATCTACACGTTTTCTGACAGTGTTCTTTCCAGATCCTTCTACCACCACCACTGCAGTTAATAAAGACTAGCATTATACTTATGTCAGTAAAGGATTATCTTGGTACATCAACATGTTTTATTTGAAAGCATTTTATTTCTATCTCCATTGTCCATTTCTAGCCAATTAGAAAATCAGTGGATGTATTCACTGACATGCTATTTGAATTGTTATTCTTAGGCAGAATCTATGATTATGAAGTATAGCCAGATTGTTGATGTGATTTTCTAGTTGCTGTGTGAAAAACAACCACTTAGAATCAGATGGATATTTTTGGCTACGGCTTAGTCCTTATTATTGTATACTTTCTTTAAAGTATGGTTAAATTACTAACCCTGGAATCTATAATAATGAGTAAAATATTGCAAAATACAAATGTTTTTATGTTATTAAACTCATCTAGCAGCTCTGTAACAACATTCTTGAATTCATACCGTAACATGGATGTTAATGGTATTTGGTCTTCTATTTCATGTAGTCACTAGATTGTTCCCTAAAGAATATTTTCCAGTGCTTTGTCTCATCTAGACTTAAATGTACTTAGCAATAAAGCTTCTACTACTTTCCTTTGGAGACTATGTCACCATGTAATAGATTTCACTATTGGGAATCTTTACCCTATTCAATCGCAGTAAAATATTGCACCTTCATTGAAATGGGAAAGAGGAAAAACATAACAAAATCAAAAATATGTATTGGCTAGAATCTAGCAAGAGAGTTCACATCTCTTAAAAGCTCATACCTTCTGTGATACTATTTTAACTTCCTGTGAAATCTGCTGTTGCATTTTTAATCACATTTTCCTAAGTAAAGGTAAATCCTACATGTTCCCTTTGACTATATCAGTTAGTTCTCATTTAGCATTTCTTATTTGTAATTGCAAGATTGTCTTGTCCTTGAAAATGAACTACTGAAATATCCACATAACCATCAAATTTCTATAAGTCAGATTTATTTAAAACAGAGAAAATGGATTTAAGACAAATGAAGTCAAGGACAAATGGATGGTCGAGCCCAGAGAGTGGTGGTGAACGGTGCTGTGTCCAGTTGGCAACTGGTCACTAGTGGTGTCACCCAGGGATCAGTGTTGGGCCCAGTTCTGTTTAATATCTTTATTGATGGTTTAGATGAGGGGATTGAGTGTACCATTAGCAAATTTGCAGATGACACCAAGCTGGGGGGGAGTGTTGATCTGCTGGAAGGCAGGAGGGCTCTTCAGAGGGACCTGGATTAGCTGGAGACATGGTCTGATTAGAATGGGATGAGGTTCAATAAAGCCAAGTGCCGGGTCCTACACTTTGGCCACAACAACCCCCTGCAGCGCTACAGGCTGGGGACAGAGTGGCTGGAGAGCAGCCAGGCAGAAAGGGACCTGGGAGTTTGGATTGACAGGAAGCTGAACATGAGCCAGCAGTGTGCCCAGGTGGCCAAGAAGGCCAATGCCATCCTGGTCTGTATCAGGAACAATGTGGCCAGCAGGACCAGGGAAGTGATTCTTCCCCTGTACTCAGTGCTGGTAAGGCCACACCTGAGTGCTGTGTCCAGTTCCAGGCCCCTCAGTTCAGGAAGGATATTGAGGTGCTGGAGCAGATCCAGAGAAGAGCAACGAGGCTGGTGAAGGGACTGGAGCACAAGTCCTATGAGGAGAGGCTGAGGGAGCTGTTCAGCCTGGAGAAGAGGGGGCTCAGGGGAGACCTCATCACTCTCTACAACCACCTGAGAGGAGGTTGTAGCCAGGTGGGGGACAGTCTCTTTTGCCAGGCAACCAGCAGTAGGACAAGAGGGCATGGTCTTAAGCTCTGCCAGGGGATGTTTTGGTTGAATATTAAGAAGAAATTTTTTACAAAGAGAGTAATCAGACATTGGAATGGGGTGCCCAGGGAGGTGATGGATTCACTGTCCCTGGAGGTTTTTAAGATAGGACTGGATATGGCACTTAGTGCTATGGTCTACTAACCACAGTGGTGTTGGATAAAAGCTTGGACTTGATTTCAGAGGTCTTTTTCAACCTGTTTGATTCTATGATTCTATGAAGTGTATAAAGATGTTGTAACCTTTATGAGGCATTATCTTTTTAGGCCCCAGGGAGGGAACAAACTTCCATAAGTGACAGAATAAGTCATTATTTTTCAAATTAATGGAACAAGGACAAAGACTAGGATAGTAGTTACACCACTGATTAGAAAATACCGAACTGACTGACAGATATACATACAGTCACCTATTCCTAACATGTTCCTGGCATACAGCATGTAGAATATTTTGACTGGTGCTAGGATTCAAAAAAATAGGTTATAAAATAGTTATAAAATAGTCTAGGCACTGTCCAACTATATGATATGAGGATACATGAAGAGAACAGAGTAAGGTAAAGGGCAGAGGAGGAAACGATAGAACTGTTTATGTGGAATAAGGCTTTACTAGCAAGTTAGTGTTACAGAGAAGAAATACATAGAAATTGCAGGGAAGGAGAGACACACACATGTGAATGCACATGTACACCCTCCCACATCCTTCCACGCACAATCCTGGACAACAGCCTTAGCAGGTCAAAAGAATGAAGGGTTCCTGCAACAGGTAGAGAGAGGGAGAGCTGCTGCTCTTGGAGCAGGCAGCAAAAGAAGACAGCTCCCTCACTATTCCAGTGATCTCACATCAATTCTGCAGGAACAATTCCTGTTATAAATACTTCTGTCTCCATACCCCCATTCCAAATCCTATCATTTTATACAGTGTTTGTGCTTCTTGGCAGTTTTAGCCTTTAGTCTCTGCCCACTAGACTGCAATGCACAGTGAAGGTGTTACTTTCATAGGCAGATGCCTTGTCCTGTTGCTCAGCTATTTTTTCTTGCTTATCTGTTTCTTTTCTTTAGTATGCTGAAAGCAGTGTTTTCTCCACTGTCAACGTTGTACTTCTTCAATGACCAGTAATCAATTGAACATCTATGGGTTGTTTGTAGGTCTAGGTCCTCTGTTTTCAAATACGTTTTCAAGGCACTTGCTATTATCCTGTGTTTAAACTCGACATCATAACAAGAGACACCTGGTACCAAGCTCAAGTTCATGCAGTGAGTTCTCATAACAAGCTGGTAATGTGCTTCAAAGGTCAGGGCAGAGTATTTGCACTTTTGGCATAAGCTTTCATTTGCATTTTTACTGGGCCACTGTTCTCTAAACTAGAACTTCTTTTTTTTTGTTGGATATGTAGATGGTAAGGAGTAGGAGGGAAATAAAAAAAAATTAAGTCACCTCCATTACCAGTGGATGTGTCCCTTATTGAAAATTTAAATACTTGCTTTTCTACCTGTCTAATCAGGTCAAAATATTTCTCATCAAAGATTTTGTTCTGTTCTTGGAGAAGGCAATTTCTTCCATTGAAGTTTTCTACTCTAGACAAATTTTGTACCTTAATTAAGAAATTGAAAAAGAGAAACAGGTGTTCCAGAAACATGTACTGTTTCCATTTTCAGCTTTCAAAGAATTAAGCCTACTGTCCTCCATTTCATGCAGTAAAACCTATCTTGGCAAGCTTCATTACACTGCTCTCCAGAGCAACAGAACATGTGGAGAAGTACACAGAATAATTATTATATCTTAAGCCCACAAGAGGCCCAGGAGAAATGCTGGGTGACAGAAAACACCTAGTCCTGAGTAGAATGCTAGGATGTTTTCTGCAACGTTAAGGTTGTGTACTGGCAACTACTTGTAACACAGATGAGGTGCAGAAGCTGCACTCAGAGGAGTGTTCTAGTGAGCAGGTAGTTCTGCATACTCTGACCCTGCTCAGTCTCACTTCTTCAGCCTCTAAAGAGCAGCAGCTCTCTAAAATGTAATGGATGTGTTTCTTAATGTAGCAGGAAAGCAGAAAATCTTGAACCATTGCTTATTAAAATTCCCATTTAATTTTCTCATTAGTGTAAAAAAAAAAAAAAAAAAAGAAGGCAATGGAAACCCGATTCTTGTGGTTTAAGACCAAACCACAGTGTGGATACTCAATGTATGTGGATACCAAAATACTTTAATCATAGATATACGTAACTTTATGAATTACTCCATGTTCATGTAGCACAGCAGTCCCAGCTATGTGATGTGCATTTCTTGAACTGGGCCACAGGGTCTGAGGTGTTGGAGTCATGGTTGTGGTCCCAAATCCTGCTGCACAGTCACAGGTTCCCTTCAGTTTCACAGGATCTCCTTTTTCTGGGTCCCTGCTGGAATATCTTCCTCTGGCATCTCTGAGTGTTCTTGATTGTCCTCATTTATAGGGCTGGGTAGAAAATATCTCATTGAGGATTAGTCTGATCAAATCACACTCTTTTTCCAAATTGCAGTCAGTGTTGTGTCAGAGTCTGCTTGTTCCAGATAGTCCAAGACATGTTTACACTTGATGATCAGCAGGTTGCTTTTATAGTTTGGATATCTATCTCCTTGAACTCAAATATTCTGTTGTTTGGAACTGATGGATTTTTATATTTTGTTTACCTCTACTAAAAAAGAGTTGTTACACTGCTTTTTGCTAACAGTTAGGCTAACTAGGCTAAATTCATGATACCTACCTGGGTGGAAGGGGAGAAGAGAGATTGATTCTGTGTGAAAAATTTTGAAGACTTTTTCCTTTTCTGCAGCAAGTATATGTATGTCTTTCTGTGAGTTGTGATCCCACTTTAGCTTCTGCCCACAACCCATAGGCAGTTCTCTCAATAAATGGAAAAATTTATTGTAAAATACACCTGTCCATTAAAAACTCACTGAATGTGAAGCTTTCTGACATTCAGAGGTGTTTCTGTTGTGGAATGTATTACTGAAGATACCACTCATATTGCAATGAGACATGTTCCCAGTTCTATAACAGTCTAGCTGTTAATGTGCTTTATGATCAAATGTCAATAAAATTTGAAATTGGACAGTTTTTCTCTTAACGTTTAAAGAAGTAACCTTTATAACCCATGTTTCTTCTCTAGTTCATTAGTTTCACAACGCTTAAAATATACTTCTTATTATCAACTTTAATTAGGCAAGACATTGCTTTGGATGTTTTTCCACTTACCTGTGTAGTACATCTAGCATGGAGGACTCATATCTTAGTCTCGAAAAGTTGGCATGCACTAACACTAAAAAAAGGGAACATTTTATGAAACTGTACAAGAAAGTATACCTTTCTTATTTACTGACATAATAGTCAAAATTAAGAAGAGTATTCTGATATTAACTCATATATATCAGCTTTGAAGACATAAAATTGGTCACAGAGCTAGTGGTTAGCAATTTTAAGATAAGATACCAATTTTGAACAACAATTATCTAATATATTTTGTTTTAATCACAAGTAATTGTACTTCGGTGTGCAGGGGAGCTTTACAATGCACCCAAATTCTCTTAATATAAATTGCTTTTCCACAACTGTTCAATCTGCTGTTAAAAATATATATAACATTAATTAAATTGATAAGGTAAATTTCTCACAATTATTTTACCATTTACACTTATGATATATTATGCACCACTTTATGATATTAACTGTGACATGTCTGTGGGAAATGTTCTTCTTGTGCCATTAAACTAAATCCAATATGCTCTTTATAGAACTATAAACAGACTTAAACCCTTAGACTGTTAGTCCAGAAGTTTGATGGTATCTCTTTCTATTTTTTATTCTCAGTTAAACACATAACACATGATGTCTTCTTTTTAGAGTTAAAGATATGTAAACTGTGTGGAAAAATATTTGACGCATGGGGAAGAAAAATTAGTATGATCTGTATGTGATTTATGAAAAATGTAGTACCTACCAACTCCAAGCAGAAAAGATTTCCGCAAAGAGACTCCATGTTCAATTTCATCCCACTGGTATGAGGTGTTCCATCTGGACTATTGGGAGTTAAGAAAATGTAGCCATTAATGTGAAATAGCTGAAACTAAAGAACAGTCCAAACAAAGTTATATTAAAGATAAAGGATTTTGTATTCTTCATTTCTATACTCACATGAAATTTGACAGCTTTTCTTGCTAAATTAATAGGAATTACTGTACCAGGGAAAAACTGATATAGCTGGACTGAGCAGTAAATATTTTGTTTTCCTCAGTTTTTGTGAAACTCCAGTTATTGATTGTAAAAACATCAACAAAGTATTTTTACTTCCCCAAGAACTACTTTTTTAATATATTTCAATATTATTTCTATTCAAACACTGACTTCCAAAGACCTGTCACCTGAGTTTCAAGTACTAAATGAACTCTTATATCCAGAATTCTTAAGTCTAGATTTCTCTCATTTAGAATAAACTTCAATTATTTTTTTTTAAAGAGGAAATCTACAAAACAGATTTTGAATGCCTGAAGAGGAGCAGAAGGCAAAGAGAAAAGAATGTTTTATGTCTCTGAAGAAAAAGATTAAGAAAGGTAAAGGTTTTATCACAATAGTAGACCTCATACTTACTATAAATCCCAACACATAGAAATATTTTTTTTTTATTATTTTAACAGCTTTGTTGGGGAAACAGACAGTGGGATTGAGGGTCCCCTCAGCAAGTTTGCTGATGACACCAAGCTGTGTGGTGTGGTTGACATGTTGGAGGGATGGGATGTCTTTAAGGAGCTTGACAGACTTGAGAGATGGGCCTGCACAAACTTCATGGGGTTCAATAAGGCCAAGTGCAAAGTCCTGCACCTGGAATAGAGAGTCACAAACATGGATACAAGATGAGTGATGAGTGAACTGACAGAAATCCTGAGAAGAAGGACTTGGAGGTATTAATGGATTAAAAACTGTGTATGAGCCAGCAGTGTGTGCTCACAGCCCAGAGAACAAATCATATGCTGTAGCCAGCAGGTTGAGGGAGGTGATTCTTTTCTACTCTGCTCTTGTGAGAATGCAACTGGAGTACTGTGTTCAGCTCTAGGGCCCGTAGGATGAGAAAGACAAGGACCTGCTTGACTGGGGCAGTGGTTTTAAACTGAAAGAGGTGTTTAGAATGGAACCTATCATTGTGATTGAATTAGTGGAAGGTTTCCCCGCCTATGACAGGAGAGTTGGAACTAGATGATCTTTAGGGTTCTTTCCAACCCAAATCATTCTATTTTTCTATGATCTACACATATTTCCACTGTAAAATGTTCCACTCTCTGGAAGCAGATGGAGTATGGCAATTTAGGATGTCATCTTACCATCTCAAACAGGGATATTAAGCAGCACTGTCTAAGTTACAAGAGGTGAATTCTCGGCTCTCATTTTTCAGAAGCTCTGGAGTTGATATCTCTAACTGATAAGGCTTGGAACCATCTCTGAGCTTTAAATGAGTTTGTACCATTTCTGACATAAATACTACCAAGAATGCCATTACTTACAAAATTTTTCAGGATAAAACAGAGGAATAATATTAGGTATTGAGCTCTTGGAGAACCCAGTGAAATATCTCTAAAATTTCAACATTGATCAATACTGATAACATCTGTCCTCACAAAGGTAATGCTGTGATGGCTGCAAGTGGTGATTCTGCCTAAAGATAGGATGATCTGTGTTATACTATACCTACCTAATCCTTTTCTTTTCTGTCATCTCTCCATCTATAAAGACAGTAATATACTTCCAAAATAGGGTCAGGAATAGATGACAACTCATTACATCTCTACAAATTTACCATCACTTTGTTACAATATTCACTTTAAATTTAGAGTACTGAGGAAGAATAAAGAATCTATTGTAATCCAGATGAGGATATATATTCTCTGCTTAATGTATTCATTTTACCAGCAGCTAATCTTTTAAAATTCTGAATGTTCTATGATTGAGGTGCTCATAAAATAATACATAAGGAATGGGAGCACAGTTATTTTAACACAATGATAAGAAAACAAGTATCTTTTTCTGTTGTTTTGGTTTTGGAGTTTGGTGGGGGTTTTTTGTTGTTGATTTTTTGTTTGTCTTTTTTCCCCCACAAAATATTCCACATTTAACCTCATAAAGTCATGGTGAAATTCAGATGCTCATCTTTCTTGTCAACACATATTTTTAGTTCCTTTTTTATGTTTATATAGTCTGAAAATTTTGAAACTTTCTTCCGTGAAAGGTTACACTCTGCTTGAAACTTGACACACATTGACTGAAACTTGACACGTATTGGAATAAGTGTTTTCTCAGTATGTAATTGAATAGAATGTATCACTACAGTTGCTATTCCAAAGTGATCATACCCTGCTCAGTTGGCATCTAAACCTGCCTTTAAACCCAATAGGCAGGAATGTCCTTTGAGCTTGTAGTCTCTATCATTTATTTTAGCTAAACATTTACATAAAGATTTTAAGTAATTACAGTTCACTTCCTTCTGTAGTTTAAGACCCCTAGTGATTTCTTGGTAATTTTTGTGTGTGCTCTCTGAAGTTTTTTTTCCCAGATCCTTCATTAGCTTCAGAAATCATAATGTGTGTTTTAGATTAAATTATATGGCATCTAATTTATTGTAGACATAGTGAATACGGTGCATAAATGGGTAGCTTTTATAACCTTGACATAAAAGTACATTTCACACTGAGTTTTTCACTTGTCTTCTCTGACAGTTTCTATCATTTGCATGCAATTTGGGGATTTTAGTATAAACATTCAAACAACATCGTGATAACCTTTGTGTTGATAATGCCTACCTGATAGGGTCTAAATTTTATTAGTGTAATCTTTCTTCTGAGTTTAAGATTGATTCTGAATTTCATATTGTATTTATTTTTTATCCCTGTTGATTCTATAAATACCATCAGATTCCCCATAGCCACCCAAGATGTGACTTTTAATTTTGTTAAAAATGTGAAAATTTTTTCTCCTGTCACAGTGTAGGAAAATAACACTAAGGACCAAATGCATTTTCATAACAGTAGATGTGTATGTTTGTGTACAAAAGTACATAATGAGAATAAACTCATTACAGTTTTAAACTCTGCAGAAAATTATGACTATAAGGTGATGTAGGACACAAAATCTCTTCAGCTTTCATCTTCTGTCCTAGTACCTGTTTAAAAGAACTTCAATCACATTGTGTTGCTTCTCATGCACTATTCACGAGGCATATAAAAATATACCTCTTTTGTATTTTCTTGGTGATGAAAATAGTGTGTCTGATTCTTGAAAAAGAGGAATTACCTACTGGATTGTATTAATTTATCTGCAGACATGTCAGAAGCTGAATATTTATAATGAATTTCAACACAGTTCCCTGAGGAAAACTGCCTGACAAAGCATCAGGCATCACACTGAATATGCATGTAAGGTAGATTTTCTATTCCTTAAAAAGTCTATTCTGATACATAAAATTCCCTGGCTGTGAAAAATACGTCACAGGATTATCAACAAGTGAACTTGTTCCCTCATCCATAGTCTTAGAATGCTCATTAAGTAATTCTAAGGTTTGAGTATTGCTTTAACCCACCAGGCAGCTAAAGTCATCAGCAAATTAGATTAAATACCTTGGGTTTAGCCTTGTGCATGCAGTTTTTGATGAAAGTTTTGGCTGCACTACCATGTTTTCCACCAAATTCTTTACTTTTCAATACACTGAGGGACAGTTTGAGCTACAACACAGTTTGGAGTTTTTTCCCAGTAAGCTGTAAAAGTCCTTGTTCAACTGTTTGAATGAATCACCAAGAGGACAGTGATCAGATATATAGTGCTTGTCTGTGTGTATACTGAAGAGAGCATAAACAGCAAGACAACCGAGATGCTTTCTGAAAGAATTCCCTAAACATAAAGCACTTCTGAAACCAGACAACAATTTTCTGTGTGGATTAAGGGCAAAGTAAAAAGGCTGGAGGGAAAGCAAGAACCTCTTGTCATGGTAGGGTCCCTGATTTAGGAAGAGCTTCAGGATGACCAAGAAGTCCACAATAGGGCAGAAGTCACCAAGTCCTCTAAGATCAGTGAGTTGCTTTCCAGGCTTCCTCATTTCTCTTCACCTGTACTGTAAGCTATACCCTCTGTGATAGGGCATTTGTTTCTCTGGGAAAAGACTGTGTGGTCTTTAAGCTGTTCACATCACTCTCTTGTTTTCTGGAGGCTACAGGAATGATGTGATCTACAGGCCAGTGGTATTTAAGCAGATCTTTGGCCCTAAAAACCTTTAATCACAATGCTGCAGCATTCTGTGGTCAGGAAATATTTCCAAACCTTGCTCTTGTTTTCCTGGCACTAGGGAAGCAGGATGCTAAAGAGAGGGTTATTTGTCATCTTCTGTGCCTTGTTTGTGAATGGGAATGTCCTTCCTAAACCTGCCTGTTAGAACTTGATAGCCTCAAAAGCAGTCTGGACACATGGTTCAAAGTAATCATCCTAAGACTTAGTCCTAGGAGCTTTTTGTAAAACAAATTTGCTATTTTGCTAATTAGCAAAATACATGGTGATTGAATTTGTAGATATCTTTAACAACGAAGAAGTACATTTTAGAAACTGATTGCATTTTTGGATGTATTAGGTGTTTTTTTTTGAGTTTGAAATTATTTTTGCTCAAGTGAATCTCAAGACTACATGCATAGAATGAACTAAATTCACATTGAGACTAAAAGCAACAATACAGCTCCCATATGGATCTCTAAATTATTGAACACAAAGAAGAATGTTTTTCAGCTTTGATTAGGGAATTGTTAATCAGGCCTATAATAGAATGTAGGTCAAAAACCAATTAAAAGAGTCTGACTAGAATTTTTGATTAAGCAACCATTAAAAACACTGCTTATTAAAGAAAATAAAAAGATGGAATAGATCCATAAATATGAGTCCTTTTTTTTCTGTGCTCTGGATACAGTGTGACAGTTTGAGCAGCAATAAAGCAGTTAAGTTAGCAATCAATTACTAACTTCAGGAACAGAGTAATAGTTTGGCTGATGAAAAGCGTATTCAGCCTTTGACAAATATTTGGCTGCCGCTATAGTTTATTTGAAATACCATTGTAGCAACCCCAGGTCTGGCTTTTATTTTTTATATCTTCCAAATAAATAAACTATGTATGGTGCTTTTAGTCAGGCTTTAAAGTTCAATCTGTTCTGGCAAGGAAGTGGTACTTCACAAATAGTAAAAATACAGTTCCTGCTGTTACTTATCCTGAAGAACCATTCTCTTATCAGAAAAGCCTGCAAAACAAATGAGCAGTTGGATTTCCACTAACTGTAAAGTTTTGTAAAACGGCAATGTGAAAATAAAAGAACGTAGCAACAACTCTAGCACTTCAAAATGCACAAAAATTCCAAAGAAGAAATTATGTATCTTACCTGATTTTTTGACAAACAAAAAAAAAAGACTGTCATATATCTTCATCCCAACTTCATTTGTATCTCCAATAATGATGAGCATAATTTCATTCTATTAGGAGCTTTTTCAAATAATGTTTTGCTAGTCAAATGTGCCTGTATATGCATAAAACACTTAACATTCAGTCTAAAATTTAGTAAACACCATGCATTTCACTTAAAAACAAACAAAACAAAAACCTTATTTTTTTGTTTAGTCAAAGCTTTTTTGGAAAAAAATCAAGGAGAAAAGTAGTGTTTGATATAGATGAAGAATGTTAAAAATGGAACATTCTTTTAAGTTATGAAATTAAATTAAGTTTCAGGGGTATTCTGATGAAGAAATCCCAGATGGAAGTGAGACACTGAAGAGATTGTCATGCATGAAGTATATTCAGTCTAACAGGATTACCAATAATAATATGTTCATGTTGCAAAGAGTTTTCAGAGGAAACTAAGGGAATAAAGTGGGTGTTGGAAAAATTACAGAGCACAATGTTTGTCTCATTCCTTTCAGTGTAATATGTTTATTCTTTCATAAAACTCCAGTAAGAAAGGGTGGCAATGTTGTCCCCTGATAGATCCAGTAACAGTAAATATATGAAGCTTTGAGAAAGGTTCTGTTTTTT